AATTGTTACAAATAGATTAACCAGCATAAAATGTTTACTACAGAAAGCCACGGCTTGAATTTAGCAGCATACAATAAGTTGAAAATTGTTCCATAAAGCTATGTCAATAAGAAGTTGAGTGGATTTAGTATTGACACTAAGGCACCGGATGGATACTACAACTAGGCAATATGAGAGTCAATGAAAGTTTGTTATTTGATTTATTACTGGGGGACTACTATTGTGGCAACCTCACAGACCGTCTTTAGTGATCAAGAATTTCCTGGAAATTGGTTTTCGGACAAGGAGGTTACTTCAAAAGTCTTCTCGTGATACCAAGATATTTGTCAATCCCACTGTATTAGAAATAATGGCATTTTACTGTAAACCAACTATTATTCGCGTCATCTTTTATTCGCGATTCGTCCGTTTGAAATCAATCCGCGACGATTAATTTTCGCGACAGAGAAAACATTTCCTACAAATACTTAGCAAAATCATTGGTTCGCGGCGATTTATATTCGCGAGTTAAAGTCGGTTGCGAAACTCGCGAATATTTCTCGCACGCGAATAAAAGTTGGTTTACAGTATATACAGTAATACCAATTCGACAAATGTTCAATTCACAAATAAGAATTAACAAAAGGTGCGTTAGCAGTTTTGTCTAGTGTATAAAAAATCTTCATTACAATATTCATTCTGTAATTCCTTATACTTTTCGAGATATTCGGAAATCAATTCCAAAATTGACTTTAATTTTTTTACTTGACATCAGTTTGGGTCTTTGAAGATCGAGCTACATTAATTGTTAAGTGGGAACGGTTGGAGAAATTTTCCTGGATTACTGGATGAATATATGCGCATTTGCATTCGGGCTTTTCTCTAATTTGATCATATAATCTTAATAAATGACCAACAACATTTTAGCTGTAATTGTTTTAAAATCGAAAGGTATATAATACATTCCAGGAAAAAATTGTTCAACCATAGCTTCTTTTACATTCATAATCAACATGGTGGTGCAGTTGTTGATGTAGACGTTTTCAAATTAATTTTTAGGGAAAGAAATATTACGGACTAAACTTTATAATCTGGAGTAAGAATTCAACTTTAAAATGTTAAAAATACTATGCAACTCTTCGCCGCACTTCAAACACCATCTGTTTACATGTAAATGGCCAGGGGTCCAAGCTAATTTCGAGTAAAAAAAAAGTAGGTCATATTTGAAATTGATTTAAGAATATCTCTAGAAGTATATGGAATTCAGAATGTGCTTTGTTAGAAATGAAGATTTAAATAGAAATTAAAATTTTCGATTAAAAAATATTGTCTTAGTGAAATTTGGTACCCAGTGTAAGAGTTCCATACTTTTATCTTTTTTATAAAGGCCTGTGCTGCAGATGCAGTTGTCTTGTGCTGAAATATGAATCTTTATGAAATCGTTTAATAAAATGGATTCGGTATAGAAATACCAATATTATAACTTGTTCATAAGCGTCAGAAGCAAAGAGCAATATATGATAAGTGTGTCAAATGGCCCTTTAAAATGAATATCATAATTTTACTTTATAATTTTTAAAATTTAATTTGCACAGTTTTCCATCACAATCCATGTGACCTTAATTCGTAATTTTCAATTTGATCAAAATGCCATTAATTTAGAAATATGACATCAAAAAGTTCACATTTTCCCGCCATTTTAGCATATATTTTAAAAAACAACTTATTTTCAAGCAGTTTTTGTCTTGTTTTGGTTGGATTGCAAAAATAGCATCATTTCTGACATCATTAGCTCACCTTTGGCTCAAGTGAGCTTTTCTGATCAAAATTTGTCCGTTGTCTGTCGTTGTTGTCATAAACTTTAATATTTTCGACTTATTCTCCAGAACCACCTTGCCAATTTTAACCAAATTTGACATAAAGCATCCTTCGCTGAAGGGGATTCAAGTTTGTTAAAATGAAGAGCAACACCCTCTTCCAAGGGGAGATATATTGAATTAGTGAAAAATTAATGTCATCTTTTAAAAATCTTCTCCTAAAAAACCACTAGGCCAGAAAATGTGAAACTCATGTGGAAGCATCCTCAGGTAGTATAGATTCAAATTTGATCAAATCATGACCCCTGGGGGTAGGGTTGGGCAAAAATGGCCGATCAAAGTTTTACATAGGAGTATATAGGAAAAATCTTTAAAAATCTTCTTCTCAAGACCACAGTTAGCCTGGAAAGATGAGAGTCATGTGGAAGCATCTTCAGGTAGTGTAGATTAAAGTTTGTCCAAATCATGACCCCAGGGGTAGGGTGGGGCCACAATGGCCGATCAAAGTTTTACAAAGGAATATATCGGAAAGTCTTAAAAATCTTCTTCTCAAGAACCACTGGGCTAGGAAAGATGAAACTCATGTGGAAGCATTCAGGTACTAAAGTTTGTATGTCTTTAAATAAAACAAGCAAAATGCAAAGAATTGTGGTCCCCCACTTTCAGTGTCTTTGTGGGTGAGATGTCATTTTTTTGTGTCAGATATCAATGGCTTATCATATGTCATTTGGATTGATCGGTTGTTTGTTGTTTAATGTCCACCTCGAGAATTTTACACTCATATGAAGACGCCACCACTTGCTGGTGGAGAGCTGCAAATTTTGGCCTATACTCGGCACTCAGGGCCATTGTGTAGGGAGGGATCTTTTTTGTGGCAGCACCTACTGCGACAGGGGACCTCGGTTTATACGGTCTCATCCAAAGGACCGGTCTCAATGTCACACAGTGGGATTCGAACCTGTGACATAAGGATTGACTCCTTTCTTCGCGATTCTAGAACAGACGCTGTAACCACTGAGCCACTCCAAGGTCAAAAGATCAAAGTTGTTGGTATCCAGTGAAAGGTCTTGCTGTAAGGATTGACTCCTTTCTTCGTGACTTTAGAACAGACGCTGTAACCACTGAGCCACTCCAAGGTAAAAAAGTCAAAGTTGTTGTTATCCAGTGAAAAGTCTGGCCACAAAGAATACATATGTGCAATATGAAAGCCCTAGCCTTTACTGTTTAAAAGTTATAGCCAAAGTAAAAGTTAGGAATTTTTATGTTAAAGTGGTTCAAACTCCAAAGTCAAGGTCAAAAGGTCAAACTTGGTGGTACCCAAAGAAAGGTCTTGTCACAAGGAATACACATTTGAAATATGCTAGCCATAGCTCCTCTTAATCCAAAGTTATGGGCAAGGTTAAAGTTTTTGTGAATGACGGACAGCTAGACAGACTAAAGGACAGACAAATAAAATTTAATGTCCCCCGGGGGACAAAAACAGCTCTGTGAATCTGTATTTTCTAATAATTAATTCTTAAGAAACATGGTTTCATAACACATAACAATCCACATAAAAAAGAATATATATAACACTAAAAATGCAAACAGCTTTTAAATAATATGTAATAATAATTAAAACACATTAACTTACATATATACACAGTTCCACAGCCGCAGCGTTAGCTCCGCCCACCATAGATACGTCATAGCAACGAAACAGCCTCGGACATAGAGAGGGAAAAATGGCGGCGGATACAAACGCCCTACGAATAATTCCGCCGAGTATATCTTTGGATTATTTTAAAAATGTCGTCGTTACATCCCGTGCAAAGGAGAGAGGGTATAATTTTTTCATTAATGGTTATATCCATGCAGTAAAACTGTATACTTCCACTGATAAAAGCGTAGAAATTACGGCAAAATGTTACCGGTCGATGAAAAAGAGCGAGGATCCTCACAAGATAAATATGACGATCAACTATGATGTGGGCGTCATTGACGATAGTCATTGCTCTTGTCAGGCAGGGTGAGTTATGTATTTTCTTTTCTTAACTCTGTGGCTAATTTATATTGCGCTTTATCTCATACCGTAAGTAAATAAAATTGATAAACAAATTGTTTACTAATAGACTCTCCGGAACCTGTGCTCATACAACGGCATTGATATATACTCTCCAGCATTATAAACGTCTAGGACTGAATCAGGTTCCTGCAGAGCTACCCTGCACAAGTTTGCCTCAACAATGGCACAAGCCTAGGGGGACTAAAATTCAGCCGGAACCCTTATCCTCCATGGTTTTCTCAAAGCCTAAACCAACCCCACGAAAGAAGAAACCTGTTTATGTGGACAAGCCAAATCAAACGTAATCATACATTATTAATAAATGTAAATATTCATTTTCATTCCCAGCTATTATATAAATCATTTTTTGAACTAGGGAAAAAATTCACTAAGTCAGACACATCTGTTTTATATTTGAACATTTTACTAGATAAGGGCGTAAAAGGAAATCTAACAACAAACGTTTGTAACCAATTTTAACGTGATAACTTCAGCTTTTCAAGAATTTCTCAAATGAACCAAGCTGTCGACAATTAGTTGGTTATACAAGGAAATCAACAGTATCGTTTTTAGTCAACATTTTGCAAATTTAATTGTGTTTGCTTGCTCTCAAATATCTTTATTTTTAAAAAACCTTTGAACTTTTCCTGTTAAATATATTACTTTTTCATATATATAAACATTTTTCTCATATTTTCTAATTGGATAATTTTTTACTCAAAAAGTTGTGTGTTACATTTATACACCAAAATGACGATTTATAAAAAGAGAAAAATCCTTAAACATCCTTAAACAATCTTGTGTGAAAATTCTTTTTATCACATTTGTTTAAACATCAATACTAATGTTTTCCTGTTCAGTGTGATGTTAAAAAATGTGAATCTTCAAGTGATAACTTGAACTAAAATATTGTAAATACATGTAAAGGACAAGTTACCAACAAATAATATTTCGAAGAATGAAATTTAATGATTTCTATTGGATTTTTTTTTCCAAGATTACACACAATATTCAATACACAATAACAAAGAGACTTTATCAATTTTTTTGCTAGAACAAAAAAAAGAGAGAGATTTGATTAATGGCTCTTTCTTTTATAGCCTGCAAAAGCGGAGCAATTTTTTGATGGTCACTCAGCTACTCATAGATGTCTTTAGAAGCAAAGACGACTTGGGACAATGCCAAGGTACACTTAATGATTTATTTTTTCACTTTCTCTATCACAAGCCGCTATATAACCTATATTAATCCTCCAATATTGGGTTATACATATATATGTACATATATTCACCTGACAAGATACATATATACATACCCTCTGAGGGGTACATGATTAGCAACGAATTTTTGATCACTTATTCCTAGCTAATAGAGTATCAGGTTCATAATAATTTCTAGATCACTGTAAAAAAGATAAAACTCGCCAAAACATTGTACACCTGAATACGAAAAATGATGATCTCGGACGAGTCTGACAAAAATTATGTCAAATGCGTTCAACTGAAGTCATTTGATATCCTAAATATTTTAAAACATATTTATTTCATATTAAACGATTTGTTAAAAAATAATTTGTCAGTATGTCCCTATCTAAGGATATGTATTTATGTTACTGGCTTATGTTTCAGAGTGAATGTCAAAAATACGACTCAAAACTGGTTGAAATCAAAACAGAGTCAAAGAACTCGTGGATACAGGAAAAATTTTTGCCCAAGAAAGGTAAAACAAGTATTCGCTGTAAAGGAAAAAAAGTTTGGGAAACGTTATATTCAGATTTAAAATTTCAAGAGCAACTAGTAATCATATGAATGAATAAACATTAAAAGAAGAAAGAATTAGCTCGAGTAAGGTTTTCCGATGAAAATGTGTACTTCTTGTACTTCTGTTTAGACGTGAACAAAATTTTTTGGATATAGAGAAAACCTAGACTTGTAGTCACTTTTGATGTATCTTTATAAATGTTTACATCTCCAAAGACAAATACAATAGAATAATGTTCTTTTGTACAATGCATTTGTCAGTGCATAGAAAACAGAATCGAAAATACTGCAAGAAAATTATAAACCTGATTACAATTCCCGATCATTACATATAAACTGTTATCACAAAGATCTTTCTTTTGAATACATAAAAACACAAAATATATATGAAATTTTTTATTAGTTTCAGATGTCTAAAGAATGCGATGATTATGAAAAGCTATGAAATATCTTTTAATGTCGAAAGAATTGTTAGAAAGTTCTGCTTGCAGTCATGATATAAAAAAGACAAAAACCTGCAGTTTCATTCATTGCATCTATAAAAAAATATGAAAAAAATGCATGAAGCTCGACAGTATAGGTGAATCCACACTTTTCAAAAGTTATATCACTTTGCTGCCATCTTTTGGAAAAAAACCCATAGAATCATCACAGTAGACTTAACGGTTTTTTTTCATTAAAGGTTTTTTGCCATTTGAATGGAAAAATTATGTGCATCTTGTGTAATGTTTTCCCAAAAGATGGGGCTACCCATATAACGAAATAATTTTTAGCAAGGTGAATTTGTTGACCAAATGTTTAGTAACATAAAGTGGTTGTGGGTTGCTTTCCCTTTTTCCTTTTGGTTGACCTCACCAAAAGGACACAACTGTGTTTTAGTGGGAAACAGGTGTCTAGAAGTTTCAAGTGCCCATAAACTAACTATAATTTGATTTATTCCATTATTTGGTGTCGATTTTTTTGTAACTATCAAATATATGTTGTAGCTGATTGTCCTCACGTTTTTGACTGCGCTGTGTGGATTGGGGCAACAGACCGGAATGTGGAGGGAAAGTATGTTTGGGACAGTGACAATAGCCCTGTCACGTTCTTACCATATTTTTAGGTGACAAAATCTCTTGTTTCTGGACAAGAGGATTTAAATTTTCAAAAAGTTTGGGTTTCGTTTGTGAAATGGATCAATTAAATTCCACATAGAGATTCTTGTCCTTTAAAAGCCAAGTACGGGATAAATAGATCTTAAAAATAATGTTTATAATTCATGAAACGCAATAAATGAAAGTTTATAATAGTTGAGTGTTTGTTTTAATAGAAATCCAGATATTGAAGCAAAATACCTGTTCAATTATTGTAATTTTATATAATTAGAAATTACGAGAAATCAAACCTACACTGTTCACTTGTTTTACAGACAATTGCCTGATGATAAACATCTATTCTCCAGCTGATATACTGATTTTAATGACCTCAGTTTAAAAAAATGTAGTGACAAAACTAAGTCTTGCAATAAACATTACCGGTACATACAAACATTGAGGGTAATAACATGGGCATGTAGACACAAAATAAGGACTGAATTTTTTGAACCAATTTTAATATTTATTATTCCTACCTAAGGCCTCATCTAATGATTAGCAAAAATTTGAACATCATTTGTTGATTAACAAACGAGATACAGAACTTACAGTTCTTCATAATGTAAACAAGGCTCATGCCTTGTTTTTGTTTACATAAAGAACGCGGGTATGTTAAGGAAGGATATAAGTCGTTTCTCGGAAAATTTAGACTTTTTAAAGAAAATTTAGTTTGATAAATTAACAAAACCGCTGATAAACGTAAACTCTTATTAACCATTGAATACAGATAAAAGAGTGTCTAAAACAAAAACATGCACCACCGCCACAGGATCACGTGACTTCTATTTATAGCGAAATTTTCCTTAATAAAAAGGCTAATAGAACAACAATACCCCGAAGTTTAATAATTTCTTTGAGTAAATAATATAGTTGAAAAACTTCTATTTTGCTTGAAAAGTGCTGCTAGAATCCCACTGTCCTATCAGTAAAATAATTATTCCACACATTCGCACAAAACCTTACCCTATGTTTTGAATTTCATATATATCAACCGAGATTTTTCGCGAAATCATGCTTAACACTTTCCAAGTTAGCAGCACTTTCCATCTGTACAAATCTTGTGTTTTGAAATACCCAGCTTATTGTTGTTCTGCTGCATTATTTTTGTCACAAATGACAGAGGAAAGTCCGACCAGGATACGTATATAACCGGCTGTCGTTGAAAGAGAATATCATCTATTAAAATAAATTAGCATACCTGTTTCATTAACTGAAATCCATATGAATTTTACATAGTATTAATGATATTTGCTTTTAAACTCCATTTCACGTGTCTTTGTACAAGCCGTCGTTGCCAAATTCTCTTTACACGACATGATCAATACTTAAGATACTTGATGTACGCATATGACGTCATCGGTGGTAGATTTTGATTAAAATGACAGATACAGCATAACAAAATAAAAACATTTTATTTGTATTAATGTTTACAAGTTTCTATTCATTTTCTAGAGTTAAATAATATCTCTAAATACCAATATTACGAAAACTTGAGTTTTAAAAATTGACGTCATCTCGCTTACTATGACGTCATAATGTAGCACTGATTTAGTCACGGTAGAATATTTTGTATGCTTCCTTATCACCCCTGCGTACAAGTAGTGGTGTCTCCAAATGAGTGAAAAATTCTTGAGTGAGACGTTAAACATCAAACTATATTTAATTTACTTTAACTGCCTCTAATCATAAAGTTTTTAAGTTTTCATTGTTTGAGAAGAATACTGTAATAATCAATACTATGCTGTCTATATCATGTTGTTAATATGCCTTCTCCATGTGACCTATACCCTCCAAACTTTGAATATCCCCCTCCATGTGCCATACTGCCCAGATCATAGTTGATATAAACACACAAAGTGCTCACTATATGATATATCACATAAGCATTAAACGGATGTAAATAATTGTTACCAAATATTTTGCTCTGAGAAAATGAACTTGATGAAAAATTCTTTGTCAAGATAAATTTGTCATTTCTGCATTTACCCCTCAAAGTGTCTACATAGCTAATAATATTTTACCGGATTCCATATAATTATATCAGTATATTACCTAAATGACAGTACATTACTGGAAGTAGCATTTCCACTAAATGCACCGAGAGGCTGACGGGATGGAGGATGTCTCGCCTTCTTAAATTCCCCTGTTTTTGCATCACATGGGTCTGGGTACTCTGCTGTTGGCCCATCAATATTGAAGAAATGCTAAGAAACAAAAATATTACTTGTAAAGTAGTAAGTACTGTACTTTCCTGTCGAGCCATTCTCTGTTTCGATGAATGATACATGTATGGTGAACTAATAATGGAAATTTCATTCATCATTAATATTATGTTGATAGTATCCAATAACTATCGAAAATAAATCATATACAACAAGATCTATAACAAGCTCAGCTAGCCTACAACCAACGGGTCGATACTTTTATTTTCATCCATAGCCTAGTTAATCCGAGATTCCTCTGACTCTAACCCCCGCTTTTATATTGTGACTACTCCGCACAAGTCACAAGGGGGTTAGAGTCAGAGTAGTCCGAAATATCTGACGTTTTCCTGGCCTTTTTACGATTTTGATATATTACATGTAAAATATCAAAATCGTAAACAAGCCAGGAAAACGTCAGATACTTCGGACTAGAGTCAGAGGAATCTCGGATTAATCCCTAGTATGCCTGTTCGCTTTCTCCGCTGGTTTACAAATTTCGATAAGATAATAAAAAGCCTCGAAACATATAAAGAACAAAAAATACCCTTACCTTAGTACATATATACGTATCTTTTGTAATTTTGTTGACATTTAGCTGATGCTGCGGCCTATGACATAACGCAATCCATCGCATACACTTGTGCAAGTTCGTCTTTGGTTTAGGAAACGGTATAAACTTGGCACCGTTAAGCTTGTCTTTATATCGACTGTCCGAATTGCACGTTCCAAATGAACAATGTTTCACCATTTTCTCTTCAGAATAGATCTATTTTCACGTTGAAAACAATGTAAACATCACTGTACTAATCGTACACAACATGGCGGTAATGTCCGAGTCTTGTCCGAGGTACGTAATGGCGGGCGGAGCTTATTTTTCGACGTATATCATTGGTCAAAATATAAGGTCACGAACTTCTATGGAACTGTGTATTCTCCTGTTGAAGAAGCTGATTGCTGTGATCAGCATCCTAAACAGGAGAATACATGTACGTTTATGTATTTTTAAAATAGGTAATTGCATTTTTGTGTAATACTGTCATTTCTTTTATTGATTATTTATTCAAATTCAAGAGATAATTTCAGAAATACCGATGTGAAAACGCCTATAGTTTTTGATTGCTTTTCTTTGTATATATACATGTCTGTCAACAAAATTTTAGTGCAATATAAAACTAGGGGTTTTTTTGTAACTCGATCATCCAACAAATTTTCAGATTTTATGCTGAAAAAAAAATTGGCTGTAGAAAACAGACATCTATATCTTTTAGATTGGTTTAATATATGGAGATAATGAGCAGTATTCAAGCTCAATTTAAAGACTTGGAGCACAGCAAACACAGACTTCCAAAAAATCAGGTGGGATTAGGTGCCATGGAGAAGTGAGCATCCCCTGCTGACCCGTCTTGTGCTCCTTGTCATGATAGGGAAGAAATGGAAAACCGCGTCCCATTGACAAATCACTGTTTATAAATAATGGTCTAACAATTTGTATGAAAACGTCATAGTCCAATAAATCTAGCCCCAAAACACCAAAACCTTAAACAAATTGCAAGTTAGCAACAGAAATTATTTCAGTAGAATTTTGTTTTTTTATAAACATAATGTGCCTTTTGATATATCAAAGGGTGGGGCCACAATGGCTGATCAAATGGCTGATCAAAGTTTTACATAGGAATATAAAGGGAAAATCTTTGAAAATCTTCTTCTTAGGAACAGCAACGCCTTTTTTTGTCATATTTATATGGAAGCATCTGCAGGTGGTGTAGATACAAGTTAGCACAAATCATGATTCCCCCACCCCCTTCCCAGAATAGGACTGTGCTGCAACGGCTGATCAAAGTTTCACATAGGAATATATAGGGGAAATCTTTTTCTCAAGAACAGCAAAGTTATTATTTGTCTTATTTATATGGAAGTGTCTGCAGGTGGTGTAGGTTTAAATTTGTACAAATTTTGACCCCCGGTGATTGGGTGGGGCCACAATGAACCATTAGAATTGTACTACATAGGAATGTATAGGAAAAATGTCAAGAACATCAAAGCTGTGGTTGGTAATATTTATATGAAAGCATTCTCAGGTGGTTTAGATTCAAATTTGTTCAAAATGTGTCCCCTGGGGCTGAGACCACAATGGAAATCAATGTTTAACATAGGAATATGTAGGAAAAATTTTAAAATCTTGTTCTTAAGAACATCAAAGCCATGGTTGGTCATATTTATATTGAAGTATCCTGAGGTGGTGTAGATTCAATTTTTTTAAATTATGATTCCCGGGGGTAGGGAGGAGCCACAATGGACAATGAAAATTAAGCATGGGAATATATAGGAACAATCTTATAAATTCTTCTCTAGAACAAAACTTTGATTGTTTATATTTATGTGAAAGTATCCACAGGTAGTGTAGAAGAAAGTTTGTTCAAAACAGTGACGTATAACAAGGGGACTGCCGACTTGTTTTCGCGCCAAAATATCTTCCAGTTTTCGCAGCGCCCCCACCGGGAGTCATAGAAAGACTTCCTGTCACATATAAATATAAGAAAGTGAATATCAATATGGCTTTATTAGACGATCTTGGAGAAGATCTGAGTGATGTTTTAGAGGATTGAAATTTGATATATGATTTGAATAAGTATTTATACCTTAATCGAAAATCTAGAGTCTATATTTTATACAAAAACAGCAGTATAACACACTAAACGTAAATAATTATTTTGTTGTGTGTGGCCTATGTGGTTGATGAATACGCAAGAGGTTCTGGCGAAGCGGCGGGTCCATAAGCTCCCCCCCCCTTGCTATGACAGCTAAAGGTAGTCAGGGATCTATATGTAAAAAGAGGACACAGGGAAATAGATTCACTCTTATGTAGTCAATACACTTGATAAACAGTCCGTGCTAGATTTAACTCTTCATATTCTTGTTATCATTATGTCAATATAATTATGTGTTACGAGGGTTTATAAATTTAATAAAAAACTACTAAATATCAATCTATTTCTATATATTTGTTTTATTAATTTTCTGTCTTTATCAGGTACGTAGCAACAGGGGGGGGGGGGGGGGGGGCTACCCCCCTCCCCAACTTTTTTACCGGTTAGTTGCCCCCCCCCCCCCCTTTACCTCTGTATAGCTATATCAAGAAAATGTAGTATTGTATGCAAGAAAATTGAGAGTGAAAGGATGCTAGCCTTGAAAAAAGTAAGCCACTAAACCCCCCCTCCCCCCCCCACACACACCTGTAGTTATAGTTGAAGGTTGTTTTTATTTGATGTTTAGAAAAATCATTTTTGCACATGGTAACAATATCTAGTTAAAAGAGGAGAATCTATAGACAGATTTGGTACAATCACCAGATTTAGCTATTCTACTTCTAGTTCCAACTGATATGTGGATTTAATCACTTTACACTCTAATTTATGGTGTTCATCACTATTTGAAGGCAATATTTGAAGATGAAATTCTAGAGGAGCACTTAGTCTCATTGCCAGTTTTACCCAATAAAACTGTAATCATCTCTGAAGAAATGGTCTCTAAAGTCATTTCTGAAATTCAGAATGACATCATCTTGCCAGAAGAAATGAGGTCTCATTTGGGAACCATAAGTGGTAAATGTCAATGCCACCTTAATTTTCTTCTTTAAATTGTTTTCTATCATTGATAATATTTGAAAGTTGTTTTGTTCCAGGTTTCATGAATGCACTTTTTACTTGTGGTAGTTGCGAAAAGTGCAAAAGTTTGGCTGTATATTTGATTAGTCACTTCTGTACTTAATCACTGACTGCATTTTATTACATTATTTTAAGTCTGGATTACAGATAACTTGATAGAAAATGGTCTGCAATGTATGTTGCTTGTGGTAAATGTACTCATATACTAGTAAGTGGGGGAAAAACAAGTCAGAGCAAATTATGTTGCAATCTTCCAACCCTCCAGAATCTGTATTCTTTTACTTGTGACTGTTTAATTCTCTTTTTAATAACAATAACACATCTTTGTTGAATTGATAAATAATTACAAGTAATTTAATGACAGTTTTGAATTTACAAATTATTTCAAACATGGCTAAATGATAATACTGAATTTATAAATTATTGCAAAAGTGATTTAAAGACAATATTGAATTTACAGAGTGTTGCATAAACAAATTTAACAGCAATTAAATGAATATTGAATTATTAAAAAAAAATAAATAAACAAATCATGACCTCTTCAAAAATACAGTTTAATAGATTATACCTTTCTACAATGAGGAATTTGTTTAAATCTGAGTTACAGTACAAATACATTACAGCTTCCAAGTTGGTCCCAGCTCTAAGGCAACTTGACACAATCATAAAAACAGAAATCTTCTCTGGTGCAGTAAGGGAAAAGGCATGGCAATCATATCATCATCTCCAACCTGAACTGATTCAAAGACTATCCAGTGTAGTAAAAAATCAACAACTTTCAGCATTTTTATCTTTAAAAACTGCTGAAGAAGTTATTAAGCAAAATACACCTTTGCCAGATTCTACCTCAATTGCTAGTACAGGTAGTGTTCTCAAATCTGGAGAGAGGGATATTATTACATATATAGCTGGCTTCGTTTTATTTAGATGTAAGAAGAAATTTATTTCTTCTCAAGAGATGGCCAAATACTTTGATAAACTTACTGAGAAGGATGGAAATACAAAATTAATATCTGTAAAATCCAGGGGTGGTTTGACACAACCATCACAAGAAATAACAAATTTCTTTGTAGTTCTGGGAATATTGTTTACGAAATTGTGTACAGAAGTCTCAGTTCCTTCGCTTCAGAAATTTAGTGATGCAATTTGTCAAGACAACAAAGTGATGTCCCTGTTCTATGATTGTACATATCACTCAGGGTCAAAAACTGAACAGCAGGAAAAGATATTTTTATCAATGTGCTCATTATATCACAAAGTTAGATGCAATGCAAAATGTAGACATCTTATGGAAAAGTACTATGTGAAAACAAAATCTGCAAGTAAACAAAAAGCCCTTCGTAAATGTCTAGACTAAATCTAAATATGTACAAAGAAAACGAATTCCACTTTAATTTTACATCTAAAGATGTTAGTTACGTCTAACACAATCCAAATCAAAAAAGGAAAATCAAAATTCCTTTTTTTAAACCCATTATTTCAAATCTGAAGCCATTTTAGGCCACAATATCATTAAATGCAGCTCCTCAAGTCTTTTTTGCAATAGAAAACCCTAAAAATTCAAACTTTTGGATCCTTTATTATTTAACAAAGAGACATGTGAGGAACGTTCCTCTCAAAAAATCTTTAAATATACATGAATCTTAAACAAGGAAACCTGCGAGGAACGTTCCTCTACCAATTTCAAGTGAACTCAATAAATACATGAATCTTAAACAAAGAGACCTGCGAGGAACGTTCCTCTCCCAATTTGAAGTGAACTCAATATATATAATCTTAAACAAATAAAAACCTGCGAATCCTCTCCCAATTTGAAGTGAACGCAATATATACATGAATCTTTAACAAATAAAAACCTGCGAGGAACGTTCCTCTCCCAATTTGAAGTGAACGCAATATATACAAGAATCTTTAACAAAAAACCTGTGAGGAACGTTCCTCTCCCAATTTGAAGTGAACTCAATATATACATGAATCTTTAACAAGGAGACCTGTGAGGAACGTTCCTCTCCCAATTTCAAATGAACTCAATATATACATGAATCTGTAACAAATAAAAACCTGCGAGGAACGTTCCTCTCCCAATTTCAAATGAAATCAATTTATACATGAATCTTAAACAAGGAAACCTGCGAGGAACGTTCCTCTCCCAATTTCAAATGAACTCAATATATACATGAATCTTTAACAAATAAAAACCTGCAAGGAACGTTCCTCTCCATATTTCAAATGAACTCAATATATACATGAATCTTTAACAAAATGACCTGCGAGGAACGTTCCTCTCCCAATTTTAAGTGAACTCAATAAATGCATGAATCTGTAACAAAAAAATCTTGAGAGGAACGTTCCTCTCCCAATATCAAATGAGCTCAATATATACATGAATCTTTAACAAATAAAAACCTGCAAGGAACGTTCCTCTTCCAATTTTATGTGAACTCAATATATACATGAATCTTTAACAAAAAGACCTGCGAGGAACGTTCCTCTCCCAATTTTAAGTGAACTCAATAAATGCATGAATCTGTAACAAAAAAATCTTGAGAGGAACGTTCCTCTCCCAATTTCAAATGAACTCAATTTATACATGAATCTTTAACAAAAAAAACCTGCGAGGAACGTTCCTCTCCCAGTTTTAAGTGAGCTCAATAAATGCATGAATCTGTAACAAAAAAATCTTGAGAGGAACATTCCTCTCCCAATTTCAAATGCATTAATGGATAAACACAAATAACAAAAAATAAATATGACAAATTGACATTGAATGTGTTTTTCATCAAATTTCATTTCTTTGTATGACATATACAAAGTACAATTCATTTATAAGATGGACTTTAAAAACTTCACATGGATGTCAATCCAGTAATTGTTTGTATAAAACATTGTTCGTTCTTCTCAAAGCTATAAGCAAATTGTATTGTAAATTAGGGCAAGAAATGTTAGATTACAAAATACAAGTTAATAAAACACACTATACAGATTGCACTAGCTGGCATGTCATAATGAAACTAGTTCTAATGGTAGTGGAGACCAATACTGATGTACCCAATACTATTGTCACTACTTATTTGTGGCTTATTTGCATAGGTTTTCTTATGTCTTAATTTTTAAATATCTTCTTTAGCTTATCTACAATGTAGCCAGGCAAGATTTTATCGCCGATAAACTTGAAGCTACATGCCACCCTATTTCTAGGGATGCTATCTGGAGCACACCCTTCAAAGTCTGGATTGGGTATCCAACTGGTGTTGTAGCTCCCCTGCAGCCATGACACTTTGATCTTAGTTTTGGCAACTTTATTTGTCAAGGCCAACCATGGTTCTCCATCCACAACATCTTTTTGGCGAATTGGTGTAATTGCCACAATCCTGCCTACGTCTAGGTCCTCCCGTCCCTCCTTAAAACTCCATTCATCAGTGGCTGGTTTTTTCATCACTGGTAAAGTGTCTTCTATGACATCCACTGCTTTTTAAATGAAAAAAATACAATATAAGGCATTCTTTAATTAAAAAAAACTTGAATTCATTATTATTGTCCAAAACCTGTCGGAGGAGATCATTTGCTGAACAATATAGAATCTGCACTACTTCAAAAGCTTTGATTTAAGTTTTTCTGACACAGTTATTATTGAAATTTTTAACATTTTTTGGGGGGTGGGGTTATATTTAAATGTAAAACATGATGCACAGGAGCCATGCTTTGTGCAATTCAGAATCTACACTACCCCAGGAAGGTTCATCTTTCCTGACCCAGTCTTCCCCTTGTGTTTGAATGTTAAACTTGTATTCCCTATTTTGACTATATTGACTTGGGGGTCACATTTGTCACATTTTGAACAATTTAGGGTGCATATTACCTCATGAGCTTCAATATGAGTAACAAGAGGACCATTTTAAAAAACAATGTCCTTATAAATTATATTCCCCTTTGAATTCTCTTTTTAGGCCTGCATAATCTTACCCTTAGGGCCATGATTTAAATATTTTAGAATGTATGCTTCTTTAATTTTAGAATGGTTCTTGAGAAAAAAAAAATTGAGGACCCAAACTCTACTTATGTCTAAAAAATTTTTAATTAGATTTCCTCATAAGGGGATATTTTATTTTAACAATTTAAATTTTCCTTCACCTAAAGATGCTCTGTTCCAATTTGGGTTAAAAGTGGTTCAATGATCTTTCAAAATTGGAAAAAGTGAAAAAAAATACAGACAGAGAGACAAACGGATAAACGACAGATGACAGGTAATCAGAAAAGCTCAAATAAGCTTTCAGCTTTAATAAGCTTATAAATGAGGTAAGCTGAAAATATGAAAAGTAGTAATCTAACCTGATGTGATTTTCCTTTTAGTAATCTTGCCTTGTTTTTCCCTCAAAATCCTACATTCTTTCGTTACTTGATTAAGCTTTTCCTGTAAATTTATAAAGCATGAAGTCTTGACATTTGTTTTCTACAATTCTTGCCAACTTTTCACTGTACAGAAATCATATTAAAGTATCATCAGCAGAAATTACCTTTAATTGCTGAATTTCATCATTCATTTTCTTCTCAGTAAGCAATCTTTGTGCAAGATCTTTTTTAATATCCGCTTTTTCCTTTTTTGATGTTTCTAATGCCTCTTTTAATTCGGCATTCTCCAGCTTCAGTTCGCCATTGATCTTTTTCTCTTTAGCTGCTGTTCTCTGAAACAGTAAGATATATATAAATATATAGAGGGTTTTTTTTTTCATTTTATTTTTAGATACATTTTTGCATTTATTTTTTATTCATTCTAATGCCTTGTACTTTACATGCTGTATCTACTGAATTTCCAAAATTTTTCACAACTCCATTTTAGAAATAAAGGAATTTCTTTAAATAGGCCAAAACTTTAATTTGCACATTGATTTTTTTACCTTCAGTGCCTCAATAACTTTGGTGTAATCCATAGCCTCCTCTTCCTCTACTCCATCATTCATTGGCTCAACAGAGGTCTGAAAATATTTTGTTGATATACCAAAGTGTAAATGCAATGCTTCATAATTTTCTATTTAAAACTTCTTTACATTAATGACAAAACTAGAAAGCAATATATGTTGTCCAATCAAAACTTTAAAATGATTTATTAAATTTAATGTGTATTGTATGTTGAATACCTCTACTTCAGAGCTTGATACCAATGTCCCTTGTTCAGACCTTTCATCCTTTTTGTTAGCTTCATTGCTGTTAACAATTTTAAAAATAAAAAAATATATTGATACAATTAATAACAATAAAAAATCAATCTAAAAGTAAAATAAAAATCAAATTAAATATGGTTTGTTCAATAAAATGAATATGTACTTACGATTTTGACTCCATGCAGAGAGAGATCAGTTGCTTGAAGTTAATTGTTTCTGCGTTGTACTCTTTCAAGAATTTAAGCAAGTCCCCTGATAGAATTCCATTTAATGGCTTTAATAGTCGCCCACTGATCTTCTCTTTCTTAACTTCCTTTTTCAATTTCTTATGAAACTCAAGAAATTCTTTCCAAATTTCCGTGTCAAGTTGTGCTAACTTTATTTCAAACCTGAATCGGTTGTTAAGAGTTTTTCTCTATAAAGAAAATACTGACATATCATAGAATTATTTATGAATATATTGATCAATGCACCTACATTACATTAGTAAACTCTTTGTTGGCCATAAGCATGATAAGTACATATCATTATTGTGCAATCAAACAAAGTGAAAGGATTAACTTACACTGACTGCTCCGACACATAGCTGTAGCCCCTCCTTCCATTTTTGAATGGTGTCCTTTTGTTCCGGGGTCTTTTCAGTAATTGTGTCCTTGACATCTGTATAGCCAGCTTTTTCAAACAGAGCATACCTGAAACAGCCAGCTCTGTCTATTAGGTCAAGGTCAGTACCAAACTTTCTGACCTGGTTATGCTGATTGGCAACATACTTGGCCTCGTCAGGGTTTAGATTTGTGTATACGATGCACATTCTCTTCTCAAACAAAGATGGATTGGGGGCTTTACATATTATGTTTTGAAGAGCCTCTCTGGAGTGATTTCCCCCTATCACCTCAAGAGTGCATGACTCAAAATTGTCCTCCTTTAGGTCACCGCAAGCATTAACAACCATCAGCTGAAAGTAATTCCCTGGTCTTTCTTGGAATTCTTTCTCTAGTTCCTTTACATGCTTACGATCTGGTTCTCTTAACAGGTTGATGAAAGACGGTTGTCGTAGCTCTGACACAGGGAGTACCATGTAGCCTAGCAAAAGAATAAATGTATAGATGTCATTATATTTTCAACATAAGTTACATGTATCAACATTTTATTGCTGTTTTTCAGATTAAGATATTTAAAAAAAAACACCTCATATGAAGCATTGATAAGGCTAAAAAAAAGATGACAGGGTCTAATTTATACATGAAAGTTTACTGTGACCTATGCTGTGACATTACACAAAAATAGTTTTCTTCATTCAATATACAGTAAATGAAACCATTTGCAGTTTTACCGGAAAATACTTATTTCTTTGCCCCCCCCCCCCCCTTTCCCCAATATACATATATTATAGAAAATGTTCATTGAAATGTTGGTTGGCCCCCCAAACTTTTAGTGATGCAAGGAAAATGTATGTATGTATTTTCATATGTATGTATGTATTTCCATATCCTTCATGTAAAAAAAATGGTATTTGAAAAAATCGGCATTGAGAAATTAGATATGAGCCGCAATTTGTCCTTTGAATATGTATAAGTTTAAATGAAAATACTTTCTGTGCAGTGGCTAAGTTAAGGCTCAATAAAAACGTTGTTGAAAACCAGTTTTTTTTTCATAATTTTCTTAACAAGGTAGGAAAAAATTATATATTTTTAAAAAGATAATAAATAATTTGTAAAGTGATAAAGTATGCACAAAGATTCAATCAGCAGATGAAGTGTAAGATTAAAATTGGTCTGATTCTCACCTTTAAGTTTCTTTTGAATGGCCTCCACAAGAATTCCATTTTCTGTATGAGATTTCCCTGATAAGCTGGTACTCTCATTTTCACTATCATGATGGCTTATTTCTGGTGATACTGAAATTACCAAAATTTTAATTTTATTTAAGCTAACAAATCTTTATGATATTGTATACGCATAAAGATATTGCTATTATATTAAGCAATGAATCTTTATTTCCAAACTTCTCAATAAGTTAACAGAAATCAAGAACAAACAATGATATTATACTCTTAAGTTCTTTTGTAGTAACCGTAAAATTTGCTGACTGACTTTGGGATAGTCACATTTCCTTTAGTCATGAACCACCTATAGAAATTACATGTATCTATATATAGTAGTGTTGGCAAATCGGACGATTTTTAGTGACCGGTTACTCGCTTCCTCTTTCGATTGAGTACCCGGTTACTCAGATAATTTTTGGTAAAAGTATCGATATCTATTATTTATCTTATTCTATACTATTATCAGTAGTAGTAATGCACAAATATACAGTATAGAGACAATATTTACAATTCACACATACGATATCGTCAAAGATTTTTGATTTTAAAATAAAGAAAATTAATACGGAATTCGACACACAAAGACAAATAAATACATTACCGCCAATCACCATTTTTTGCTTTCTTTTTCAGCCCCCGAAATATGTCGCAATCAATAAAAATAATTATTTATATACTCCATAATTAATAATTAATATGTGGAGTGTCCAGTAAATCGCTGGTTTTCGAATAATTTAAACTTAGGTGATTTAACAGATTTTGAATCAGCTCTTCTATTGTTACAACTCCAAACTTATTAGATCTGTGGCGGCATCTCGTTAAATTATCAAATGAGGTAATTATAACTCATATCAGGCCTTCAAAATATGTATGCCCAAGGCAATCAAAGCTATCAATTATATAAACTGTGAAAACTAATCAAAACAATTTGATTAACTACAACCATGCACTAGATCAAATCTAACGGTACCTAAAATTAGGGAAATGTGAAAGTTAATTAGTATACATTTATAAATTATAAAACATTCATTTCATATGCCTTTAATATGTAGAATTAATTTCATCCGAGTAACCGAATAGCAGTTTTACTAACCGATACTCGCAACGTTCGACGGTTAACCGGTTAACCGGGTGCTCGTTGCCAACACTAATATATAGCATCTGATCACAAAGTAAGGAGTCTTATGATCCTTTCATGTACAAAGCGGTTTCGAATCCCACTGTGATTTAATAAACCTGATATCACCACTCATTAGTATTCAATATTGAGATCAAAAACTGATAAAAAGAATTTCATATATTCTTGTTGACACTTCTTGGTAGTTTACTAACTTAATTTTGTAAATTTCCCATCAAATTATTAAATGAATTAAAGAGAGATGATGAAACCAAACAAGAGGCTCATGGGCCACATTGCTCTCCTGAGGACCGTGACTAGGAAAAAATAGAAATTGGTTTTTTATTTGATAGTTTACAGGGTTTGACACTAACTTTAAAACCATGTAGTTGTCTAATTTCTACTAGCCCTGTTCATCTATTACCTGTAGTTGTCTAGCAGGCCTAGTCACGAAGCAATAAGGGGAATAGGTGTTGGAGGGGGAACAGAGAATAGAGATGCAAAATCCTGCATTCTGGCTGCATTTTGGGTAAAAATTAGTCACTCTATGATTGTACCTAAGGCATTTTTTTTCTATTCCAAAGCTTCCATATTTATAATCATTTAGGGTATTTCGAATTGCCTTTTAAGTTTACATTTTGACTTACAAAAATAATTATGATAAAACATGTTTGACCAAGAGCTGTTTGTAAAACATTTATGCCCCCTTTCCCCAAATTGGAATTTTACCAAGTCCAAAAGGGCATAACATATCATGAGCAATGTAGTAATTAAGTGATTAGACATTAAGAATAAACTTCATACCATTTAACTCATCTTCACAGACTTCTACTGGTTCTGCTATTACCGGAGAAATATCACCCACTTCAGAGCAATCTATAAAAAAACAATTAATATAATGTTATGTATATATTTTTGTAATTTATCATTTAAAGCTAAATTAATTAATTTACTGTGATAAAATCAAAAAGGCAGAAGCACCTGCGATAGATGGTCTGTGTACTTCTACGTGTACTGGTACTAAATTCTGTGTAGCCACATCACTTAGTTTATCAGATGCTGCATCATCTAAGGAGTAATAATTAAGTAATTTTTTTATTCAATGAATTAAACAGGAAATTTAAACAAGTCATTATAAACTTTTCTTTAAAAGGTTTGCAAAAATTCATCATGATAGTACATGTAAATAGTCATGTACTGTATATTCTCAACTTACCAGCATTTTTTAACCATTGTTGAGACCAAAAAAAGTGACAAGTTAATTATTATCTTAGCAAAAAATGTTTTTCCAATTTAAATTTATATTTGTTAACCTAAAATTGTTTAATATTTACATATATAGGGCTGGGTATTGGCCCAAGATTTTGTATTGCGATATATTGCGATATTTTTAACTGTATTGCGATATGTATTGCAATATTTTCAATGTAATAAAAATGGCATTTTCTTACTAAATTTACTTTTATTTACATGCAGAATGTACATAACTATGATAAGCAACCAACACAAAAAAAAATCTTGTTGATTTTTTTTAAGTTATGCTCTGAAATGTTACCACAAAACAACTTCTGACTTACTGTTTGGCTTAATAACAAACTTTAATATTAGTCCATTTTTATATTTAATGACTAAATTCCTTAATCTAAAAATATTGCCAATATATCGATATTACAAAATCGTATTGCGATACATTTTTTGTCATTGTATTGCAATATATTGAAATATCGATATTATTGCCCAGCCCTATACATATACATGGATTTTTTTTAATCTTAACTTTTTTAATCCAACGTGGGTCATTTTTAGCTCAGCTGAGCCGAAGGCTCAAGTGAGCTTTTCTGATCACATTGTGTCCGTCGTCCGTCCGTCTGTCCGTCTGTCCGTAAACTTTTCTGATCCGCTCGCATACTCACTATTAACATCTAACAACATCTTGTTTTTTTTAAGCTGTTATAGGAGTATAATCATAAATTTTTTAACAAAAAAAATTAAATACCTTTGAATTCAAATGGATCAATCGTAGAGTAAGTCCCTTTTACTGTTGATGTTGTTTTGGTTTGCCCTGAAATAGAAAAATTTTGCATATATATATATATATATATATATATATATATATATATATATATATATATATATATATATATATATATGTGTGTGTGTGTGTGTGTGTGTGTGTGTGTGTACATATCGTACATAATGTACTCAGTAATCTCCAGTCTTAAAAATGATCACTTAACTAATCTTATAATTAAATACTTAGATCAAAATGAATAAAATGTGAATTTAATGCCTCTACATGTATTTACAGTGAAGAAATCTATTTCATTGTCAGGTTCAATAATTTTTAACCCTTATCGCATCTAATCAGACTTGTATTCTTGGGGAAATGTTATTTACATGTATTTCCAAAAACTTTACAATTATGGGTGGGATCAGATTAATTTTGATCTGGTGTCATATAGTGAGACTTCCGCCACAGTGAGACTTCCTCCCCCCCCCCCCCAGAAATCTGGCTATATAGTGAGTTTTCCTCTCGGGGGGGGGGGGGGGGGGGGGGGGGGGTATGGCTATTTAAAGAGGGTAATGACCCTATAGTTATTTAGCTGTTACATCTGGATCAGCTTTTTTAAGAATAGGTACTATTTCAACTTCACACCATGTGAGGGGAATATTACCTGTTTCAAATATAACATTGAATATTCTCGTTAAAAGTGGACTTAAGTCTTCACACATATATTTAAAATATTCATTTATTAAATTATCTTTTCCTTGTGATTTTTCTGCTTTTTAAACTGTTTATAATTTAACATCTACAACTTCTTTAACAGTTATATTGACATCTAGTTCATCAAATACAGCATTCATATCAAATTCTGTATTCAAAAAATCACTATTTGTAACATCTTTACAGACACCTAGATTTCTGAAGTGATCAAAAAAATCTTCTACACTAAGATTATACTGTTATTTTGTGGCTTACCATTCTTAAAAAAATTTAAAAAACTCCCTAGGTGAAGTGCGCATCAGATATTCTAACTGGCTACCTTGACATCGCCTAAACTGACACCTTGATTTACCAGGGTACTTTTTTTCTCACTTTTTTTCCTTTTTTTAAAAAAAAATATATCAAATCAATTTTAATTTTCAATGTAGTTGTATAAAAACCCCATTCTATCATTAATACTGAAAAAGCTCTTATTGTAACTTTAGAAGAAAATGATGAGAGAGGTACAATTAATCCCTTGGGATTAATTATCTAGCTTGCTGCAGAAAATTTAGTAGGCTTTTCTTTATCTGTCACTTTAAGATTAATGAAAACCTTTGTCTGCAACTGCTGTTTGTTTGAAGTTAAGGTCAAGCCTTCATGATATTTGCATTCATTGAAGGCTGGCATTTTATATAACACAAGATTCATAATAGTTTAAAAATAAATTCAATGTTAAGTTGTTTTTTACTGCCTAATGTAAATACAGGAATATTATTTTCAGGTTTTTGAATATTCAGGAATTATGTTGAAATTTTAAGAATACAGTTGCTGTTGCTTATTCTTTGTACATTTATTAATCATTCTGTAAGCTGCACCCTTTTAATTCTAATGGCGGGGCCCTTGCCGACTGGTCAGTTTTCTAGTTCCTTATATTTTGTTTATTACAAATATTATGTTTACAATATAATGGCTCAAAAACTTCGTTTGAACAATGTGTAAAATTAGAGATAGATACTTTATAGCTAGCCTTCCTGGGGAAGCCTCACTATGGGGGAAGTCTCACTATATGACACCGGATTGGTCAAAATTAAAAAAAAAAATAATTTCACTAAAAATTGACTAATATAATTCGCTTCAATTTCTTTTATAAATATGATTAACGAACATGTTCTCTCCAGTTGTGACTGGTTTTAATAATATTTTAACCACACGTTAAAAAAAAACATTCACAAAATATAATTTCATATATAATAATAATAATAATATAATAATTTTCATATATATTTTTAAAATTAATATTTTGAATTAAGATCTATATGGCTTTTCTTTACATATTTATTGGGTATTCATGTGATGCATTCATTTATATAAGCAAAAGTTTTTCAAGAAAGCTTCTAAATCATGTAAATTGGATGTAAATGATTTTTTTTTAATTTTCCTTGACAAAATACAAACAAAAAAATCATCAAAAGCTAATCACTTGACCTTTCAATACTGAAACCATTGTTTAAAAAGGTTGACTTGGATTGAGATCTATAAATAAGAATTTGGTGTGGTATTCCTCCTTAACTATCATTATTATTTTTTGAAGCCTTTTACTTTAATTTTTAGTATGATGTTCATTATTCCTACAGTGTCGTATCAGATCAGACTCTCTATGTGGAAAATGATACGGTATCATCTAATCAATTTGAAGATTAGCAATGGGGATATAACCAACAATCATTTCCTATAGCTATCAGAGTGTGAACTCTGTATTGGCCAGTATTCCTCCGAGTCACTACATAATGTGTTATGCCTTGCAAGTCTTTAAAGAAACCATAACTTACAATGTCAAGTATCTTGCAAAGCAGGGATGAAATATGAATGGTATTGATCAGGCAGAGCTGTTTCAATCTCTGTTTTATCAAATTAATGTTAACTCAGAGAAAATTGACCTTTGGATCTGCACATGTTAATTTCATTTCACAAGCAAGCTGGGATCATCACTCTTATCATATATGGCTGCATGATATGATGTGATCTTACATTATTTTAAGCAAAAGTTAAATAAATTTTTGTACATTTATAAAGTATTTATTGAAATATAGGTAATATAGATATCCCAGATATTTACTATCTTTTTGGGGGTGGGGGGGGACATTATCTTTGAATTTCTTCTGCAAATCTTCTCTAGATATTTCCATGTGCTAGTTGCACACCATGTATTATTCTGTTCTCTTTTAAGAAATAACTCCTGTGTAGGAATTATATCAACATCATGCAAAGTCATCTCCACCATAATTGCAATAAAATCTGCAAGGCCTTTGAAGTCTGCATAAACTTTTTTTCTGATCAGTTGATAGTAATATGACTTGAATTTTTTTCCACCCAATTCTGTATGAATCAGAAACCCAGGCATCAGAGATGCAGATAACTAGCAATTTGACAATAATTAAATGGTTTTGTCTAAAATCTTGTCCTCTAACTACAATCTTAGACTTAATTACCACAAGCCCTGACTCAGGCTCGGCCTGCAATACGACATTGACATTTACATGTATTGCATTGACATTTTGACAGTAAATTATGCTTACAGCAATCACAAACCCTAGCTTATATAAAGAACTGATGCTTAATAGTAAACCTGTTTTAACCTATGCTAGCTTGATTTAATGATGATGCTTATTGCAAGATGACTTTCATTCATTTTTGCTTAGTAATAGACATCTTCTGAATCTAAAGGATAAAAGAATTAGACTAATTAATCTTATGAACCCCCCCCCCCCCCCATTACATTTTCATAAAATGTGTTTTTAGTTTATGATTGCATTTCCAAAATGATCTAACGTACAACCCAAATCATGAAGGATTATTGTTTTTCCCATTTAAAGTTTTTGATAATGCCACAGGGTAATCAGGTCTTGTCCCTTCTCTTCTGCTTCTGATCTTTATCATATCAGTGAATTGTTTGTTTCTGAGTTGATGAAGAGTTAAATGTTGTTCAAATATGCATTGAGGGCCTAACTGTAATTGAGGTAATTAATGGTATGTCTATTTAGCTGTAATTTATACAGATGTTAGAATGATTTGATTGATTTGTTGTGATCTATAAATTCAACCTGATAAAGTTTTAAGAAGATGGGATTTAATGCCAAGTTAATGGTGAATGGGATAAACGCTAGATATAATTATTATCACTGCAGTAATCATGGTAATAGATAGATGAGTTAATTTGAGTGTGTGATAGGATTTAGAGATATAACCTGAAATTTTGCATAAAATATATAACAAAAAGTTAATGGCCTGAAGATATGAACAAATCAAGGCGAGTTAGTGGTTTTGATGTAGTTTGTTGGATATAACTGAGATATTTGAAAAAAAAAAATTTAATCAGTTAAGATTTTTTTTACAGGTATTTAAGTATTGTTTAATTAGTACTGTAGCCATTCATTTTTACTTCTGATACATGGTGAGGATTGTCAGGTTATAAAGTGATGGTATAATGTCAATCCGGATTTTGGTGTAGGTGGTGGGCAGTGGGAGGGGTCCCCCTTCCTGAGCCAGAGTTTTTGGGGAATTATTTCTGATGAGTCAGGGCATTTTAAATAGAACTCAATTTTTCAAGCATCTTGTCCACAAAATCTAACATTTCAAAGAGTTTTTTTTAAATATTGTTTTTATTAGATGTAATACATGTATATGTTATAATTTTAAACACATTTAAAAATGTTGACCGAACAGTTTAGCCATGGAATATTTCACTTCAATAAATGTATTATTGCAGAAAAGTGTTCAATATTCTATCATAACATTGTTTATTCACTGCCCAAACACCCCATTCCCATCCCACTCCACATGCAATTTCAAACTCATGCTTACAAAAGTAGATGAAATATATGTACAAAATCTGTACAAAAATCTAAATGCATCTTACACCAATATTAGGCTGCTATCCTTTAACTCCAAAATAAATTCTGATTTTTTCCCCCATACAAGAAACATTTTTTGTTTGGTTCTTTAAATTTGGATGGACATGCATGTTCATTCTACTTATATATATGTCCAAGTAATATTTTTAAAATACTACATTTATCAATGTGTATTTGCAAAATTGATGCAAGCAAATTGTCAATATCAAATCATACCTGATTCTTTTAAGGTCCTCCATCTCTCCACAAATGAATTTCTACTGCTAAGGTGTCCAGCAAATAAGCTTGAGTATTCATTGTCTTCTGCATTGAACTCCTCAAGACGCACAATTTTGTCAAAGCCATTCATCATTATCTAAAAAAAAGAAAAAATGAATGAGTTCCTAAATATTTTCCTGATTTTTTTTTTTTGTACCATATTAATTGAACTCACTAGGATATTTTACCCTTTAGAATAAATTCTGTTAAAGGAGATGTTTAAGTCACAAAAAATTATTTTAAATACATATTTAGACTATCATACCTTGATGCATCCTTTGTTGTTGGCGGCTGCAATATCACACACTTTTCCAACTATGCTGCCTTTCTGTTTCATAAATACTGCATTTTGTGACTTTGAAATGGACCACATATTGCACCTTGTAAGAGGTATGGATCACATGTGCTACAGACACGGGTCTGAAATTGCATGCACACTGAAAACACGCCCCTATTAATCTTATCAGTATTACCAGTCTGATTGACATCTCTTAACCGAATGCAAATTGGAACTGCAGAAGGTGCTCATTCTTAGTAAAAGTGGAAATGAATTGGGACCTAGCACTTTATAAATGCAATATGCTATTATTTCATTATTCAATTATGATATTCTGAGTGAAATGGATGACAGTATTATTTCTGAACACTCTATTATTGAATCACAGGAATATGAATCATCTTTAGGTCACATTAGCCGTACTAACTGTTTAACAGAATCAATTCAAGAGTTGTCCAAATTCGAAGAATCTGATTTTTCTACAAGTCGTGCTTACCGTGATGTATTTTCATTCTGTGATGACACGCCGCCCCCTGTTCAAGCATTTGATATACGGGAAGAAGATTTGTATGAACAATCAAGTGAGATAAGTAAAGAACTTTCTCTTATATCATCCGATTTACAAACAAGTGGGTGTTCCACGGATTCAGAGCCATTTGGATATTTACATTTCATTGAGCCTTTAATGAGCAGTACTCCTAAGAAAAATAAAGGTATGTATACTTACTTTCACTTCATTGTACATGTGAATGATCAAATTAATTGCTTTGTTTTCTTAAGAATTTAAATTATTATGATTTCTGCTAACAACATATCACTTAACTTTATAATTTTCAAGTAAAAGAAGTTCATACATGTTATGGTACTCTTGTATTTTAAAGATTTGTGAACATGACGAGCAAATTTAGTCTATAGTGGTATACTTGTAAATTCTCCACAATGTCATGAAGTTGAAGTTATTTACCTTTGAAAATGAAATGTTATACACAAATGAAAGAGGATATTTATCATTAAGATTTCTTTTCTCCATTTACATACATAGGCGTCGGAAGCCAATCGGAAGTGGGGACAGGCAAATTGAAAATGTGAGGGGGGGATTGCTTATCCAACAAAAAATGTAAACCCCAATTTTCAATGCCTATGTTATGTATGCATATGCAAAAAAGGGGGGGAGCCCCCCCCCCCCCTCAGTTCCAACGCCTATGCTTTATTGCACTTTTATACAATGCGCGAGTGCTTCTCCATTTCTTAAAAAAGTTAATCCATAAGTTTTGCATAAAATTATACCTAAATAATAATTATACCTAAGTAAATAATGACGAGCGGGAGGATTATAGTAGAACGGGAGGATATATAGTAATTGTGATGTATGTCCGTCCTTCCATCTTTGGAGTACCAATATCATATCCACAACTCCAATCGTACCATTTAAGGAATTTTGATGAGACTTTCACAGAATCTTTATTACATAGATATTTCCTTTGTGCACTTCCTATTTTACCTTATGATACATACATGTTTTGGGTTTACATTGCAAAACATGCATGGACACTACAAATTATATTCAGAGGCAGGGGGGGGGGGCTGTATCATTTACTTGGTAGTTTATTGTCCACAGAAGCACAGCATTCACACATTTGGAATTAGGAGAAAAAGTTCATTTTTCTTGGTCGCTTGGACTTCTCCTCATTTTAAAAAAGTGTGCATTCGTTTCTTTGAATTAAAATAAAATACACACATGTCAAATAAAAGTTTAAGGTACATGTAGCTATAAGATCCGTTACCATGCAATGGAAATAACAGACCTACAGATTTCGTTGAAACTTCTCAGAATCTTAAAGCTAAGTATTTGTCCTTTCGAGTTCTGTGTAAATTTTGGGATCAACCCGGCTTCCTTTTAAAAGGATGGTTACTAAAAATAGACATTGCCTCGTGAAATTGTGGAAATCCATGCAATTCAGAAATTTATGCTAGCTTTCTAAAATTTAAAGCAAAAAAAAAAAAATTAACATATGATTTTAAAAGAAAATATGCTTGACGTAAGGTTTAATTATTTTTTAAACTGCTGATCCACTTAATATTACTTTCTAGGGCGAATTAAAAATATTGAACTCAAAATTATTAACTTCATTTAGTAAAAATAAATTGCTGCTTGACATTCTAACTACAGCATGTACAGATTTCTTTTTAAAATTAACATGTTATTTTCCAACAGTCTCTCCCTAAATAATATTTGGGATAAAAATTAAGTGGGGCAGCGGGCATCAAACAGGAAAATTTCACATTTTTAAACCAAATTAAAATTGCTGAAAAATGACTTTTTGAAAAATCTTTTTAACGACAATACTTTTAGGATTTGGGTGTAAAAATTGTTTTAAGCATGTAAAACTATCGTTAATAGAACTTCAATAAGTAATAAGTTGAATATCTAATGCAGAGAGGGCCAAGCATTCGTTTTCACGAGTCACAAGCATAATAGTAATCGGGTTCAATCTTCGGAATATTCTATATACTGTAAATGCGCATGTGTGACATTATGACGGAAGTGCTCCTTCAGTTTCAACATTGGTCGTTTGGATGCACTTTATTTGATTACAAATTAAGAGAAGTGGCACGTTTTACTACTTTTGTGTCTATGTAATAAATTTTCGCTATTCATAGATACAAGTAAGTGGTTTTTTTTGCCACATCTAGTAAACGTCTGGCTTCTGATCACAGGAAAAGCTTGGGTCTGTCTAAGTTAGGTGCAGCATTGTTTTTCATGTTTTTATTCACATATTAATAGATAAGATCTATGTAAGCGGAGATAAATGTGTTCAATGCTTCCACTTTGTAATGTCTGTCTGTTTAAAACACCGAGCTTATAGGTGATCTCGACTTTCAGTTTGGAAGGCAGAGATCCCATTCTTAACGACTTGAGCTCGGACAAGCTTTAATTTAACACATTCTATGGTGACATATCGGTCCTACTAAACAGAGTACGATAGAGTACTTTAGAGTACCCTAGTAATATTTTATAATTTAATGCAATTAAATTACTTTTTATATGTTTTTCTACTTTAGTTTAACATATTGAATATGTTTAAAAAAAACATTGTATGTTTTCTGTATTTTAAGAGTTACATGTGTATTTAAATTTTTGATTTCAGGTTACGGTTGATCGTTTGATCCCGATCTAATTTAACTAAAACGTTAAAATGTCTCATTGTGAATGTGAAAAATATTTACACATGCAATTAATTTAATATTATGAAATAAAATTTAGATGCAAGTCTTTAGAAAGAAGGTCTGAAACAATATAGTAATCGAGATTGGGGTTTTAGCCATAGGTATACTGTCATCTTTAATGCGTTTAATTTTGGATGTTATTTCTTTTCAAAATATCGCTAAAAACAAATATTTGAAACAAATATTGGAAAATAAGTTTATAATAATGTTTAATCAAGTTGTACATACATAAATAAACAATTTAATTGCATTAAATAACATAATTTTTTATAGTGTAAATATCAATAGTTATTTCATTGCAACTTTTTGTCTCTTTTTAATAAAAAGAAAACTTTTGAAAACTTACCTTCAAATAGATAAATAAAGCTACTTGAGGTAGGTAATTCTACCTACGTAGCTAAATCTAGTGATTGTCCTGGACCTGACTAGCTACTTAATATGAATATTATGATGAATATTATGATGCTATTATTGAAAATGTGAATCAACGCTAAAAAATCATTGAAAAAGAGGAAGAAATGTAATGCTTATCCTAAGACAATCTTTAAAATTCCTTTTAAAGTCATAATTATATTTCTAGCTCTATAGATAAGTATGTGGTTACTGTTTATGTATTTTTAAAATCAATAAGGTTGAATGAATTAATAGCTGAAAGAGTTCACTAATTAAAAGGGTAAAAGTAATTCAAACAATCGAAAATTATTTGTTTAATGTTTTGTACTCTGACGGACCTGTCAAAATCACCCTTACACAAAAAAATTTCTCAGCACTTATAATTTTTTTCTCGATTCCATTGTTTAATTTCTCTAGGATTCTTCTTGATTGAAATTTTCATGGCGGATCTGTGTGTGTTCCCCTGAATTTGCAGAGTTATTAAATGTACATACTTAACCATGCAGTACAATTCTTTGTCATCCTTGGAATTTCAGTAAGACATGGATTTCTCGGCACTAATGTTTTTTCAAATGGCGAACAAATTTTCATTGCATGGTTAAGAAATAACTTCAGGGACTTAAAATTGTTGTTGACAATGATGAGACAACTTGATAACATGAATAAACTAATTTGATATCGTACTGTATAATACAAATAAAACTAATTATTCTCAGGGTGGGGGATAGTAGTGGGGGATGGGTGTATTGGAATCGGCAATTTTGTTTGTCAGCATGAGTCAATACCTAATTGTATTATGCATTCATAGTAATTAAAAATATTTCAGTTGCTCTGTCATCAAGAACTCGACTTCAGGAAAAGAAGATCTCCAAAAGCACTATTAAAAAGGCCTCTCAAGAACAATGTACTTGTCCAAAGAAATGTACAAGGCAAAGCTTCTTCACAAGAGAATTGATTGAAAATTGCCATTCAACATTATGGAGTCTGAATACCACAGAGAGGCCAAAATGGTTTCAAAGAAAGTTTGATGACTTTCAGAGTGTAAAAAGGGGAACCTTTAAATTCATTCTTAAAGGCCACAAGGTTTGCTTAAAGAGTTGGTTGATTGCTTATGGAATTAAGAAATCAATCTATTACAAGGAACGAAGAACATGGTTGACAAGTGAAGTGCAACTCTCTAACGAAAGAAGGACACCATCACAAAAAAGACTTTATGTCATCAATTGGTTTGGAGAATATACAGCAATGAGAGGAGAAAATCCACCTCACATCCAAGAAATTTGGCTGCCATTTGGTTTAAGAAAAAATGAAATTTATGCTGGATATAAAAAGGATGCAGAGGAAGAGAACATGGCTTGTGTTACTTTTCAGACTTTCCTCAACATTTGGAATGAACACTTTCCGCATGTGAAAATTAAACAGGTGAGAAATTTTCTTATTTAAGCAATTGTATACTTTTAGAGTCTATAAGTTCATCATTTTCTGGTGTAACATTAATTAACTGTTATTTTGTTTGGTTAATTCATATCAATGAATACCTTTCTATTATGTATTACAGAGTAACTTGTTTACAAGATGCACTACATGTGACAAGCTTGACAGAGAACTACACAAGCAATTAAACCCAGAGAAAAAAAAGGAAATTTTTCTAAAGAAACAAGAACATCTGCACAGACAAATGTAAATAAATATTAAACAGTATCATATCTTCCAGGAACCTATATTAGTGTATAGGTCCTTGCATCTTTCTACTAAAAATAAGTAAATTGCTTTAAATGATTTTCACAGTTTTCCATTAATACAATAACAATACAACATTGATGTTGTTATTTGTGGTGTAACCATAATTGATATTGTATAGCAAAACTCAAAATATGGGCACATAAAATATGCTATCATGAATCTGCAAATTAATGAAGACATATAATTATATTATAGGAAAGAGAAATCAGCATATTACAGACGAAAAACAGTAAGCAGACGAAGACCTGATAGATACATAAGCCTCATAATCGATGGAATGGATCAGTCCAAAACAAATATTCCTCATTTTAAGGGAAGACCAAGCAAGGTACAAATAAACACATTGTTATTAGGTTTACCTTTACCAATTGAATAGGAAAAATATTAGGCCATTATTAAAATATTTCTCAATTGTCCACCCTCCTCAGTTTCTCTTCTTCTTTACTCTGTGATCGAGATCAGTATTCAAATTATCCCGCAACCAAAAAACCAAGATTCCATGTAATAATAGGTACTGGAGCTAAAAAGATTCCTCCCTGCTCAATGGCCCCAAGCGCAATAGGAGGTCAAAATTTGCAGTTCTCCACTGGCAAATTGTAGCTTCTCCATATGAGTGAAGAATTCTTGAGATGAACGTAAAACAACAAACACAAAAACAAATCTGATATTACATTTTGTAAACAATTCTTCATGTACATGTATTATTTATAAAGATAATATGTTTATTGTCAAGATCTTGTATTTTGATGAGCAATATGTGATGTAATTGTGAGGTGATGGTGATAAAATTTCAAGAAATACAGAGATGAAATCATTTTCTTTTTTTTTCTTTTTTATGTCTCACTGCCTTCCCTCTGTAATAATATTTAATTCTCATTATAGGAGTTTGCAGCAACAAGGCAATTGAATGTGCATGTTACTGGAGTTTTGAGTCATGGCCTGAATAGAAAATATCTGTTTACAGACCTGCACCAGTACAAACATGATTCCAATCTTACACTGAATGTTTTGATGAAAGTGTTATGGAACCACTCAAAGGTAAAAAACAGAAATATTCCTTACAAAAATTTACAGTACAGTGCAATAAAAAAAATATAAGTTACTAACCGGTTGGGCCAGTGGCAATAACAAAGATACTAGTCTGATGAGTTGAAAATAATTAAACAAATAATAGTTTGTGCATTTTTTTGCCAGGTTCTTCTCCTATTATATCGGTTGCATTTCTTTTCTGTAATTTCTGGTAATTATCAACTTTTCATCACCGACATTTTTTATAGTTTTCATTTCCGACATTTTTGTTTTCATTTCAGACATTTTCAAATACATGTTTAAATAGTACCTTAAGTAACAAAATTTGATAACTTTTCTTCTGAAAAGTTTAAAGGAAAAAATAATAAATAAATCATTGAAATCCAACTTTGTAAATCTATCAGTGACTTGGATATAAGAATGGTGCTGTCACTGATATTTAATTTCGTGCACATTAGATATGGTGAAAAAGTTTTATGCCCATTAAACTCTTTTTCCACCTTGACTTAATTAGTGCCACATGTGTGCATATATGTATACATGTTTTTTTTATTAATATTTTTGGCATAACATACTTTTAAAATTCAATTTTCTTTTACTGAGAAAACATTGAATTGCAGCACAGGTAAATTCCGGAAATGAAAAAAAAAAATTGTGTCGGAAAAAATATTAAAAATAAAATTTTAAAATGTCGGAAATGCTATGCATATTTCTGGAAATGAAATGCAGCGATTCAGCAACTATTATTGTCACTAAAACAACTGGGCGATGTCAACACCAGATATATAGACTAAAAAAAATTAAAGATTATGATTTAAACCAAAGTTTATTCATACATGAATTAAGTCGACAAAAATATTCAAATACTGTACAAGTACTTTTTTCTGTGTGGTATTAATTTAATTTACGCTATGTACACAGTCATAAATTTTCCAAAGCATTTTGTCCAAGCAAAC